ACGAAGGAGCCGCGCTCCGAAAGCTTGTGATTTCAAATAAACCTGTTGGCCTATAATCTGGTATCATGTGACTTCTGACCTTGTTCTCTACAGTAGAGTATGAAGTCAGCAAACAAACCAAAGGCATTTCTTACTTGTACAAGACTATTTACATAAATTTGAGGCACCAGGGTGGGCTCGGATACCTGAATGGACCCCCATTTAACTTCAGTGGAAAGACCTCAGACGGCGGTCTTTCCCCATTGCACATTGGCAGTAGCTGCCCCAAGCTTTAGTGCGTCCCTCAGCACATACTCCTGGACCTTGGAATGTGCCAGTCTGCAACACTCAGTCAGGGTCAACTCCTTGCCAACAAGTTTCAGGCAGACCAAAGAACGTATTTCACCAAGTTGATGTTCCTCCAGGTGCAGTCGATGTTGGTCTCAGTGTGTGACCTGGGGAACAGACCATCGAGCACAGAGTCTCGCGTCACGGAGCTGCTCGGGACAAACCTCAACACAAACCACTACATCTTCCTCCAGACCTCCACTGCAAAGGCACATTCCAGAAGGAGATGTGTGACAGTCTCAACTCCCCCAACAGCTGTTTCAAGGGCAACGTGCAGCAGCACAGAATGAGTGAGTGTACATAAAGTAGTGCCCTTTTCATCACCAGCCAAGCTTGGTGCTTGTTGGAAAGTTCTGGTGATGAGGCATTCTGCCAAATGACTTTGACAGTCTGTTCAGGGAACCACGCTACAGGATCCACCCTCTTCTTTTCCTGCAGGGTCTCAAAGATGCTATGTGCTGACCACCTCCTGATGGACTTGTGGTCAAAGGTGTTTCTCTTAGCAACTTTCTCCACTAGGGACTGGTGATACAGAAAGGTCCAATTAGTTGGAGTGTTCCAAAGCAGCGAGGTCAGTCCCATCCTTCACAACACCAGGGACAGGTGGAACAAAGAAGAACAAAGAAAATTACAGCACAGGAACAGGCCCTTCGGCCCTCCAAGCCTGCGCTGATCCAGATCCTCTATCTAAACCTGTCGCCTATTTTCCAAGGATCTGTATCCCTCTGCTCCCTGCCCATTCATGTATCTGTCTAGATACATCTTAAATAACGGTATCGCGCCCGCCTCTACCACCTCCACTGGCAACACGTTCCAGGCACCCACCACCCTCTGCGTAAAGAGCTTTCCACACATATCTCCCTTAAACTTTTCCCCTCTCGCCTTGAAATCATGACCCCGAGTAACTGAGTCCCCCACTCTGGGAAAAAGCTTCTTGCTATCCACCCTGTCTATACCTCTCATGATTTTGTAGACCTCAATCAGGTCCCCCCTCAACCTCCGTCTTTCTAATGTAAATAATCCTAATCTACTCAACCTCTCTTCATAGCTAGCGCCCTCCACACCAGGCAACATCCTGGTGAACCTCCTCTGCACCCACTCCAAACCATCCACATCCTTTTGGTAATGTGGTGACCAGAACTGTACGCAGTATTCCAAATGTGGTAGAACCAAAGTCCTGTACAACTGTAACATGACCTGCCAACTCTTGTACTCAATACCACGTCCGATGAATGAAAGCATGCCGTATGCCTTCTTGACCACTCTATCCACCTGCGTTGCCACCTTCAGGGTACAATGGACCTGAACACTCAGATCTCTCTGTGCATCAATTTTCCCCAGGGCTTTTCCATTTACCGTATAGTTCGCTCCAATATTCCAAAATGCAAATTCAAAATGAAATGTATAGTTCCAAAATGCATCACCTCGCATTTGCCCGGATTGAATTCCATCTGCAATTTCTCCGCCCAACTCTCCAATCTATCTATATTCTGCTGCATTCTCCGACAGTCCCCTTCACTATTTGCTACTCCACCAATCTTAGTGTCATCTGCAAACTTGCTGATCAGACCATCTATACCTTCCTCCAGATCATTTATGTATATCACAAACAACAGTGGTCCCAACACGGATCCCTGTGGAACACCACTGGTCACAGTTCTCATTTTGAGAAACTCCCTTCCACTACAACTCTCTGTCTCCTGTTGCCCAGCCAGTTCTCTATCCATCCAGCTAGTACACCCTGGACCCCGTGCGACTTCACTTTCTCCATCAGCCTACCAGGGGAACCTTATCAAATGCCTTACTGAAGTCCATGTTTATGACATCTACAGCCTTTCCCTCATCTATCAACTTTGTCACTTCCTCAAAGAATTCTATCAAGTTGGTAAGACATGACCTTCCCTGCACAAAACCGTGCTGTCTATCACTAATAAGCCCATTTTCTTCCAAATGTAAATAGATTGTATCCCTCAGTATCTTCTCCAGCAGCTTCCCCACCATTGACGTTAGGCTCACCGGTCTATAATTTCCTGGATTATCCTTGCTACCCTTCTTAAACAAGGGGACAACATTAGCAATTCTCCAGTCCTCCGGGACCTCACCCGTGCTCAAGGATGCTGCAAAGATATCTGTTAAGGCCCCAGCTATTTCCTCTCTCGCTTCCCTCAGAAACCTGGGATAGAACCCATCTGGACCTGGGGAATTGTCCACCCTAATGCCTTTTGGAAGACCCAACACTTCCCCCCTCCTTATGCTGACTTGACCTGGAGTAATCAAACATCTATCCCTAACCTCGACATCCGTCATGTCCCTGTCCTCAGTGAATACCGATGCAAAGCACTCATTAAGAATCTCACTCATTTTTTCTGACTCCTCGCATAACTTCCCTCCTTTGTCCTTGAGTGGGCCAACCCTTTCTCTAGTTACCCTCTTGCTCCTTATGTACGAATAATAGGCTTTGGGATTTTCCTTAACCCTGTTTGCTAAAGATATTTCATGACCCCTTTTAGCCCTCTTAATTCCTCGTTTCAGATTGGTCCTACTTTCCCGATATTGTTCCAAAGCTTCGTCTGTTTTCAGTCGCCTCGACCTTATGTATGCTTTCTTTTTCCTCTTTGCTAGTCTTACAATTTCACCTGTCATCCATGGTTCCCTAATCTTGCCCTTTCTATCCCTCATTTTCACAGGGACATGTCTGTCCTACACTCTTATCAACCTCTCTTTAAAAGCCTCCCACATATCCAATGTGGATTTACCCTCAAACAGCTGCTCCCAATCCACATTCCCCAGCCCCTGCCAAATTTTGCTATAGTTGGCCTTCCCCCAATTCAGCACTCTTCCTTTAGGACCACTCTCGTCTTTGTCCATTAATATTGTAAAACTTACGGAATTGTGATCACTATTCCCAAAGTAATCCCCTACTGAAACTTCAGCCACCTGGCCGGGCTCATTCCCCATCACCAGGTCCAGTATGGCCCCTTCCTGAGTTGGTCTGTTTACATACTGCTCTAGAAAACCCTCCTGGATGCTCCTTACAAATTCTGCTCCATCTAAACCCCTAACGCTAAGTGGATCCCAGTCAATGTTGGGAAAATTAAAATCTCCCATCACCACCACCCTGTTGCTCCTACATCTTTCCATAATCAGTCTCCATATTTGTACCTCTATCTCACACTTGCTGTTGGGAGGCCTGTAGTACAGCCCCAACATTGTTACCGCAATTGTTACCAAGTACGTAGTGACACTTGGTGTTTGTGTACCGAAGGTGTACGCACAGCTTGATGCAGTCGCACACAAAGGTGGCCAACAGGGTGAGGGCGAGTGTTCTTTGAGAGCTTTGTACTTGGTGTCCCTGTGGACATGGTCCATCTAAGAATTGATCAATTGATTTATTGTTGTCACCTGTACCGAGATACAGTGAAAAATGTTGTTTTGCATGTTATACAGGCAGATCGTACCATACAAACTGCATCAGGGTAGCAGGTCAGCATGCAGGATAAAGTGTTACAGCCACAAAGAAGGTGCAGAAAGAGAGATCAACATTAACATTTGAGAGATCCATTCAAAGTCTGATAACAGTGGACAAGAAGCTGTTCTTGAATCTGGCCATACATGTATTCGAACTTTTGTATCTTCTGTCCAATAGAGGAGGGTGGAAGAGAGTACAACCCGGGTGGGAGGGGTCTTTGATTATGTTGATTGCTTTCCTGAGGCAGTGGGAAGTATGGATGGAGTCAGTGGATGTAAGGCTTGTTTGTGTGATGGACTGAACTGTGTTCTGTATAGTTCCCTGTGGTCTTGGGAAGAGCAGTTGCCATACCAAGTCATGATGCATCCAAATAGGATGCTATCTGTAGTGCATCTATGAAAATTAGTGAGACTCCTTGTGGAGATGCTGAATTTCCTTAGCCTGTTGAGGAAGTAGAGGCGTTGTTGTACTTTCTTGACCATTGTGTTGACATGGGTGGACCAGGACAGATTGTTGGTGATCATCACACCCAGGAACTTGACACTCTCAATCAGCTCCACCTCAGCACCATTGATAAAGATAGGGGCGGACCCATCACTCTGCTTCCTGAAGTTAATGACCAGCTCCTTCATTTTGCTGACGTTGATGGAGAGATTGCTGTCTTTACACCATGTCGCTAAGCACGCAATCTCTTTCCTGTACTCTATCTTGTCATCGTTTGAGATCTAACTGCAACAGTGGTGTCATTTGCAGATTTGTAAATGAGCTAGTAAATGTAATCTCAGTCCCTCCAGATGAAGTGGAAGATGGCTTGGGTGATTGCAATGACACAGATTCAGGGAATGGGCCAGACCTACGCCACGTACAGCAACACTGAGAGTACCTCACACCTGATGACCAGGTTTTTACCCGGAATGGAGAGGGAGTGGTTCTCCCAAAAGCCCAGTTTCTGCCTCAGCTTGGCATCAGAGCTGATGAAGGGTCAACACATCACCTGGTCCAGCATCTCTATTTTATCTACTTGCTTCTTAATTTGTTCTTTTTTAATTCATCTTGGTATTTTAGTTTTTAGACTATGAAATCAAAAAGCACCTATTCCCCTCTGCACTGAATTTTCATCCTGCTCCAAAACCCTGCAACTACGCACCATCACTTGGGATTTGATCTTTCCTGACTGACTGTAATTTGATGTGATTATTCATAGATCTTCGTATTCCCCTGATGTGGAAAGACACCGACTACTTCAAAAACAAAGGAGGTGAGAATTACCTTGTTTATTTATGAATAGACTTTAATTGAGATATCTCATTTTGTGGACTGGGAGTACTGTGATGGAGTTTGGAAGATGGGGCTGCTGTGGATACACAGAACAATAGAGTGGGGTTTGCCAGAACATGGTGCAGGGGATGTGAGTCGTTCTGTGTTCGTGAATGTTATTCCCAAAACTGACTCTCATCGTGTCCTCCACAGATTTCCATCGATATGCTGTATTTGCATTAATAAAGATAGGCTGCGAAATCTATGATACGGAGATGGTGATGGTTGATCGCACCATGACAGATATTTCTTTTGAAAGTTCCTTTGTGTTGTAAGTAGAAAACTGAAATTCTCATAACAAACAATCAAAAGAATTCGCAATGTTTTTGAATGTTATGGTATTTTTAAAAGATTCATTCATGGGATGTGGATGTTGTTGGCTGGTCAGCATTTATTGCCCATCTCTAGTCACTAACAAAAGTTTATAAAATTGTGAATGAAATGGACAGAGTGGAAAGTATGAGGTTTTTTCCCAGGCTGGAGGGGTCAGTTACTGGGGGACACAGGTTCAAGGTGCAGTGGGGACGCTGTTTAAAAGAGATGTGCGAGGCAGGTTTTTCACACAAAGGGTGGTGAGTGCCTGGAACGTGCTGCCGGAGGAGGTAGTGGAAGCAGACACAATTGCAGCATTCAAGAAGTACCTGGATGAATACACGAATAGGAAGGAAACAGAGGGATACAGATCCTTTAAGTGAAGACAGTTTTAGTATGGGAGGGAAAGATGTGTTGGTGCAGGCTTGGAGGGTCGAAGGGCCCGTTCCTGTGCTGCGTTGTTCTTTCTTCTTTCCCCCTTGAGTAGGTGGTGGTGAGCTGCCTTCTTGAACCGCTGCAGTCCTCCTGCTGTGGGTTGACCCACAATGCCATTAGGGAGGGAATTCCAGGATTTTGACGCAGTGATAGTGAGGGAACGGAGATATATTTCCAAGTCAGGATGGTGAGTGACTTGGAGGGGAATTTGGAGGTGCTGGTGTTCCCATGTATCTGCTGCCTTTGTCCTTCGAGATGGAAGTGGTCGTGGGTTTGGAAGGTGCTGTCTGAGGATCTTTGGTGAATTTCTGCAGTGCATCTTGTAGATAGTACACACTGCTGCTACTGAGTGTCAGTGGTGGAGGGAGTGGAATTGTTAGGTGCTTGTCTTTGACCCCCTCAGATTGAATGGGTGAAGGGCCTTTTTCTGTGCTGTAGACCTCTATGACTGCAGCTCAACCCCATCTTTTCAAGGCTAACAGGGATAAGCAATAAATGCTGGCCCAATAAATTTTTAAAGATGGCCTTTGCCAATGCTGTGTGATGCCATTTTGATGATAAAAAAAGTGCGCTAGCCATTTTCCAGAATCTAATGAGCCAAGGAGTGGGCAGTGTTCGAAGTTGTGAAGTATATTGTGATGATTTGCTGTGATACTTGGAGGGACTAATTGGAACAACTAAAGCCTATTTTGAAAAACGCAGTTGGTTGATTCAGTATTAAATTTAACCAACAGCAGGTTGTTAAAAGCAAAGGGAGCCTGACCAGGGTGGGCGACAACCTAGTGGTATTATCACAAGACTTCAGAGACCCAGTAATGTTCTGTGGACCTGGGTTCAAATCCCATTCCATTGCATTTGAATTCAAACAATAACCTGGAACAAAGAGTCTAATGGTGGCCATGAAACCATGGGGGAGGTGATGGTTTAGTGGTATTATCACTGGACTGTTAATCCAGAGACCCAGATAATGTTCTGGGGACCCGGGTTTGAATCCTGCCATGGCAAATGGTGGAATTTGAATTCAACAAATATCTGGAATTAAGAATCTAATGGTGACCATGAATCTATTGTCGATTGTCAGGAAAAACCCATCTGGTTCATCGACGTCCTTCAGGGAAGGAAATCTACCCTTGTCCGGTCTGACCTACACGTGACTCCAGATCCACAGCAATGTGGGATTCTTAACTGCCCTCTGGGCAATTAAGGATGGACAATAAATGCTGCCTAGCCAGCGATGCCATCATCCCATGAATGAATAAAAAAACTAGACTAAACTCAACATCTGCAAAGCTGAAGCATTGATGGAGTACCACCACAATGATTGGTGCTTTTCGCTATTTATATAAATGATTTGGGTGTAAACATAGGGGGTATGGTTAGTACGTTTGCAGATGGCACCAAAATTGTGGTGGACAGTGAAGAAGGTTACTTCAGAGTACAACAGGATCTTGATCCGATGGGCTGATGGGCCGAGGAGTGGCAGATGGATTTTAATTTGAGGTAGCTATTACGAGGGGGCATAGTTTTAAAGTGAATGGAGGTAGATATAGGGGAGACTTCAGAGGTAGGTTCTTTACTCAGAGAGTGGTAGGGGCATGGAATGCATTGCCGGAGAGGGGAGTGGAGTCGGCCTCATTAGGGGCATTTAAGCGGCTATTAGATAGGCATATGGATGATAGTATAAGGTAGGGGTGGAGGTTAGATAGACCTTAGGTTTCGGGTAAAAGTTTGGCACAACATCGTGGGCCGAAGGGCCTGTACTGTGCTGTACTGTTCTATGTTCTGTGTTCTAATTTAGATAAAATGTGAGGTGCTGCATTTTGGAAAGGCAAATCAGGGCCAGACTTATACAATTACTGGTAGGGCCCTGGGTCGCTGAACACAGAAACGTTGGGATGCGGGTTCATAGTTCCTTGAAATTGAAGTCACAGCCAGATAGGGTAATAAAGAAAGCGTTTCTCACGCTTGCCTTCACTGGTCCTAACTTTGAATATAGAAGTTGGTGACATCATGTTGCAGCTGTACAGGACATTGGTGAGGCCACTTTCCAAGGGCGGAAATGACTATTACGAGGGAGCATAATTTTAAGGTGATTGGAGGAAGGTATAGGGGAGATGTCAGAGGTAGGTTCTTTACACAGAGAGTGGTGGGCATGTGGAAGGTGCTGCCGGCAGTGGTAGTGGAGTCAGATACTTTAGAGACTTTTAAGCAACTCTTGGATAGGCACGTCGAGGATCGTAAAATGTCGGGTATGCAGGGTAGTTTGATCTTAGTAGGATAATAGGTCAGCACAACATCGTGGGCTGAAGGGCCTGTACTGTTCTGTGTTCTATGTTCTAAACATAGGCTGGTTGGGCCGAACAACTGTGCTGTGCAATGTAGCTGTGAAGTAAACAGATATTTCACTGTTATAGGTACTACGTGAATGGAATTTGTTGTTGACTTAACTGGCTCTCTCCCTCAAATCTCTCTTCCTCTTTCTCTCCCTCTTTCTCTGCCTCCCTCTCTCTATTGGTTTCTTACCTTATCTCCATGTCCATGTCTTTGTATGATTCTCTTTCTATCTGATTTTTTGTCTGTGACTCTCTCCTTCTGCAAAAGGAGAATTTTGCCATTTTCTAACCCGATTACTTTCTATTGTAGCTCCAACGTTGGGCCTGACTTTGAGATGAAGTTGGAGATTTACAGCTGTTGTGTAGAAGAGGATTTCTCGATGGCCAGTGCACCAAAAAAGCTTGCCAGCAAGCTCAGCACTTCCCTTGGACGCTCAACAGGGAAGAAGATTCGAGCCAGCCTTGACAGCACTGGAGAAAGTATAATGGCCAATGGTGGGAGCAGCCCCGTCATATTGCCAGCTACAGCTGTGGAGTACGTTCTCCAGAGAATTGTAAAGTGTTACACCACAAAATGAAGCAGCACAGTCCATCTAATGCGACACCAGCTCTCCCCAACCACATCTCAGCTTGTTTTCAAGTGCATTTGGCGATGAGTAACAAAATGTTGCCTTTGCCAGTGATTTTCAATTCCTTGAAAGAATAAAATATGTCCCAGACCCCTGCCTTGAGTCCAGAAGATGAACGAACAGAAGTAGGCCATTCAGCCCATTGAATTTGCTCTGTCATTCAATGAAATCATGGCTGATCTGATAATCCTCAACTACACTTTCCTGCCATTTCCCCATAACTTTTGATTCCCTTATTGATTAAAACATAGAACATAGAACATTACAGCGCAGTACAGGCCCTTCGGCCCTCGATGTTGCGCCAACCTGTGAAACCAATCTGAAGCCCATCTAACCTAAACTATTCCATTATCATCCATGTGTTTATCCAAAAATCTGTCTGTCTCAGCATTTACAAACTCAGCCTCAACAGCTCTCTGTGTTCAACAATTTCACAGATTCACTGACCTCTGAGAGAAGAAATCCCTGAGCTGTCTTAAAGTGGTGACCCCTTATTCTGTGATGATGCCCTCTGATCCCAGACTGTCCCACTAGGGGAAACAACTTCTGCACATCTCCCCTGTCAAGTCCTTTCGGAATCTTATATTTCAATAATGTTAGCTCTCATTCTTCCACATTCCAAGAAGTACAGGCCCAATCTACTCAACCTCTCCTCATAAGACAATCCCTGCATACAAGCTATCAGCCTAGTGAACATTCTCTGGACTGTTTCAGTATATAACGAGTATATCTTACCATAGATAAGGAGACCAGAATTGTTCACAATATTCCAGCTGTGGTATGACTAGTAGAAACTCCCGATGTTTATACTTCATTCTCGTTGAAATAAAGACCAACATTCCATTTGCCTTCTCTATTTTCCTCTGAACTTGGATACCAGCTTTTTGAGATTCATCAATGAGGACTCCTAGATTCCTCTGTGCTGCAGCTTTCTGCATTTTCTCCACTTTTCCAGTTAAATAATGTTCAGCTCCTCTATTCTTCCTGTCAAAGTGCAGAACCTCACATTTTCCTACATTATAGTCCATCACCTACTCACTTAAACTGTCTATCTCTCTTACAATCTTCATGTTATCCTCACCACTTGCCTTCCCATCTATTTTTGATATCCTCAAATTTGGCAACATTACATTCACTTTTCTGATCTGTCATGAATCTATATTGTACAGGATTGTGATTCCAGTACTGATCCAGCCTGAAATGTGCCCTTCACCCTAACTCTCTGTCTTATACTAGTTAGCAATTCTCTATCTATGATGGCAAGATTCAGGAAGCCTGGATGACAAGAGCTATTAAAAGTTTAGTCAAAAAGGAAAAGGAAGCATGTGTAAGGTTTAGGAAACTGAAATCAGACAAGGTCCTTAAGGAATATAAAGGGGGCAGAAAAAAACTTAAACAAGGAATTAGGAGCGCTAAAAAGAATCATAAATGTCCTTGGCAAGTCAGATTTTTAAAAATTCATTCACTGGATGAGGGCATCACTGGCTAGGCAGCATTTATTGTCCATCCCTAATTGCCTAGAGGGCAGTTCAGAGTCAACCACATTGCTGTGGGTCTGGAGTCACATGTAGGCCAGACCAGGTAGGGATGGCAGTTTCCTTCCCGAAAGGACATTAATGAACCAGATGGGTTTTCCAACAATTGACAATGGATTCATGGTCATCATTAGACTCTTAATTCCAGATATTTTATTGAATTCAAATTCCACCATCTGCCATGGCAGGATTCAAACCCAGGTCCCCAGAATATGAGCTGGGTCTCTGAATAACATACCAATGATAATACCACTAGGCCATCACCTCCCCATCAATCCAAAAGCATTATACCTATATCAGGAGCAAGAGAGTAATTGGGCAGGTCCACTCAAGGATAAAGGAGGGAATTTGATAAGATTCCCCATGGTAGGCTCATGCAGAAGGCAAGGAGGCATGGGATAGGGGGTAATGTGGCAGATTGGATTCAGAATTGGCTAACCCTTAGAGACAAAGGGTGGTAGTGGACGGAAAATATTCAACATGGTGCTCAGTTATGAGTGTGTACCACAAGGATCTGTTCTGAGTCCTCTTCTATTTGTGATTTTTGTAAATGATTTGGATGTAGGAGTGGAAGGGTGGATTAGCAAGTTCGCGGACGATACGAAGGTGGGTCACGTTATGGACAGTGTGGAGGGCTGTTCTAGGTTACAAAGGGACATTGATAGATTGCAGAGCTGGGCTGAGAAGTGGCAAATGGAGTTTAACCCTGAAAGGCGTGAGGTGATTCATTTTGGAGGGACAAACTTGAAAGCAGAATACAGGGTTAACAGAAAGATTCTTGGCAGTGTGGAGGAGCAGAGGGATCTTGGGGTTCATGTGCACAGTTCCCTGAAAGCTGCCACTCATGTGGATAGAGTTGTTAAGAAGGCATATGGTGTGTTAGCTTTCATTAATAGAGGGACCGAGATCAGGAGCCGTGAAGTTATGCTCCAGCTATACAAAAGCCGGTTCGGCCACATCTGGAGTATTGTGTCCAGTTCTGGTTGCGTCATTACAGGAAAGACGTGGAGGTGTTGGAAAAGGTGCAGAGGAGATTGACCAGGATGTTGCCCGGAATGGAGGGAAGTTCTTACGAGGAATGGTTGAGAGAGCTAGGGCTTTTCTCCTTAGAACGACGAAGGATGAGAGGTGTCTTGATCGAGGTGTACAAAATGATCAGAGGTATAGATAGAGTGGACAGCCAGAGACTTTTTCCTCGGGTGGAGGTAGCTATTACGAGGGGGCATAGTTTTAAAGTGAGTGGAGGTCGATACAGGGGAGACGTCAGAGGTAGGTTCTTTACTCAGAGAGTGGTAGGGGTGTGGAATGCATTGCCAGAGAGGGTAGTGGAGTCGGCCTCATTAGGGGCATTTAAGCAGCTATTAGATAGGCATATGGATGTTAGTATAACGTAGGGGTGGAGGTTAGATAGACCTTTGGATTAGGGTAAAAGTTCGGCACAACATCGTGGGCCGAAGGGCCTGTACTGTGTTGTACTGTTCTATGTTCTATGTTAACTCTGTTTTCTCCTTCACAGATGCTGCCAGACCTGCTGAGCTTTTCCAGCAACTTTGTTTTTGTCAACTAACACTGTGTTCAGAAGGGCCTGGAAAATTTCTGTCAACAGCAAACTTCAGAGAAATGTATAAATAATAGGAGGTTTCAACTTCCCAAAATGAACATAGAACATAGAACAGTGCAGCACAGTCCAGGTCCTTCGGCCCATGATGTTGTGCTGACCTATTATCCTACTAAGATCAAACTACCCTGCATACCCGACATTTTACTATCCTCCATGGGCCTATCCAAGAGTCGCTTAAAAATCTCTAAAGTATCTGACTCCACTACCACTGCTGGCAGCGCATTCCACATGCCCACCACTCTCTGTGTAAAGACCCTACCTCTGACATCTCCCCTATACCTTCCTCCAATCACTGTAAAATTATGCTCCCTCGTAATAGTCATTTCCGCCCTGGGAAAAAGTCTCTGGCTATCCACTCTGTCTATGCCTCTCATCATCTTGTAAACCTCTATCAAGTCACCCCTCATCCTTCTTCACTCCAATGAGAAAAGCCCTAGCTCCCCCAACCTTTCCTCATAAGACCTGCCCTCCAGTCCAGGCAGCATCCTGGTAAATCTCCTCTGCACCCTCTCTAAAGCTTCCACATCTTTCCTATAATGAGGTAACCAGAACTGAACACAATATTCCAAGTGTGGTCTAACCAGAGTTTTATAGAACTGCAGCATAACCTCACGGCTCTTAAACTCAATTCCCCTGCCAATGAAAGCCAACACACCATACACCTTCTTTACAACCCTATCAACTTGGGTAGAAACTTTGAGGGATATATGTACGTGGAACCCAAGATCCCTCTGTTCCTCCACACTGCCGAGAATCCTACCGTTAACCCTGTATTCTGCATTCAAATTGGACCTTCCAAAATGAACCACTTCACACTTTTCAGGGTTGAATTCCATCTGCCACTTCTTTGCCCAGCTCTGCATCCTGTCAATGTCCCATTGCAACCTACAACAGCCTTGCACACTATCCACAACTCCACCAACCTTCATATCATCAGCAAACTTACGAACCCACCCTTCCACTTCCTCAACCAAGTCATTTATAAAGATTCTATGTTTTGTGTAGAATTAAAACCACTGTCAGTGTTGTTAATATTAACTACGTGTGATTCCACACTCACAGTAGTTATCCGGGGGCAAACTGATCGTTCGCACTGCTGCCTCACAGCGCCAGGGACCCGGGTTCGATTCCACCCTTGGGGCGACTGTGTGGAGTTTTCACATTCTCCCCGTGTATGCGTGGGTTTCCTCCGGGTGCTCCAGTTTCCTCCCACAGTCCAAAGATGTGCAGGCTAGGTGGATTGGCCATACTAAATTGCCCATAGGGTTCAGGGATGTGGAGGCTAGGTAGATTAGCCATGGGAAATACAGGGTTACGGGGATATCTAGGGGCTGAATCTGGGTCAGATGCTGTTCATGGCTCTTTGAAAGTTACCTCACAGGTAGACAGGGTGGTTAAGAAGGCATTTGGCACGCTTGCCTTCATTGCTCAGACCACTGTCATATTTCAGTTTTACAGGATGTCGGTGAGGCCAGTTTTGGAATACTGTGTACAGTTTGGTCACCCTGCTTTAGGAAGGTTATTATTAAAATAGAGAGGGTTCAGAAAGAATTTTGCGGAATGTTGCTGGGACTGGAGAGTTTGAGTTAAAAGGAGAGGCTTGTTAGGTGGCGGCTTTTTTCCCTGGAGATTGAGAGCTTTATAAAATCATTAAGGGCATAGATGAGGTGAATAGCAAAGATCTTTTCTCTAGGGTTGGGGAGTTCAAAATGAGGGAGCATATTTTTAAGGTGAGATGAGAAAGATTTGAAAGGGACCTGAAGAGCAATTTTTTCACGCCGAGGGTGATTCTTATGTGGAACGAACTGCCAAAGGAAGTGGTAGATGCAGGTACAGTTACAACATTTAAAACACATTTGGACAGGTACATGAATAGAACATAGAATAGGACAGCACAGTACAGGCCCTTCGGCCCACGATGTTGTGCCGAACTTTTACCCTAATCCTAAGGGCTATCTAACCTCCACCCCTATCTTATAGGAAAGGTTTAGAGGGATATGGGCCAAACACAGGCAAGTGGGACTAGTTTAGTTTGCGAAACTTGATCAGCATGGAG